TTAAAAATTTAATTATGCTCAAACCTGAAGGCATAAGGCCAACTTTATGTGCATGAGTAAGCTGGCCATCTTATAATTTTGTTTTTATAAGAAACTGCATTTTTATTCTGGTCTTGAGCAAATTAACCTTTATTCAGCTTCACAATCTCCTTATTTAAGGAACATTGCTTTTGGAAACAATATAACTTTAAATCTTTGCCTTAAATCTACTTGGCAGTTCTAGAATTAAATTAGTTTGCTTTCTTCTCCATCTCCCACAATTTTTATTGAACTTAAAACATAATTCTTTTCATTTCCATAGCAAATGATTTTAGCTCACTAGAATGTTAAGTCTAGAATCAATTCTATAACTTATACCTATACCAAATAGTCTTTCTTCCTTGAAGATAAATTTATATAATTTCAAGTGAAAAAATCTAAAAACCACACTCAATAAAATAGAATGAATAAGATCTTTCTTTAGAAACAATTCAGGAACCTACCTCATATTATCACAGTTTAAAACATGTTTCTTGATCCGTGGGAACTTTCTCAGGATTGGTTTGATGTCTGTCATTTCAGCAATTCTCTTCATCAACCTCACCTGAACCAAAGGGATCATACACAAGAATGATCAAGACCACAGACAGAGCCCCAGTCTGAAAAGCAAAACCCTCAATATCAGAAGCCTACAGGAGACATGTGCCAATGTTATGCTTGTGTGTGGTAATCGCCAGCCGAGGTGGGGTGGTGTTGGAGTAGAGGTTGCACAAGGAGGAAAATGAGTTAAACAATTATTCCCCATGAGAACTGTTAATTATAAAGTTAGTGCTCTGACATAAGTAACTTATTACCAGAAAGCATCAGCAACTCTGGAAGAAGATGTGACTAAGCCAGAATGACAAGCACCCCTTCCCAAGTCCCACCTGATTCATGCCACTGAAGGTCTCTTGTAAGTCCCCTGCAGGCGTGAGGGTCCTGCTAGCTCTGAGGGTTGCATAGAAATGCCCCGAGTCTGGGATCCCATTGGAGAGCTCCTGAGCTGTCATCTTAACTAACACTTTGAAGTGTTCGTCTTCTTCAAAGGATGGACTATGGAGAAAGAAAACCAAAATAAATTCCTGAAGATCCATCCGTGCCCCCTTCAATATCATGAAAACCTTTATTATGTATAAGTTTTCAGGCTATTTCAACACCTTCAGGCATTTTTCTGGTCCATAGGAATGACAAGTAAAACCAGGCTAGGAAACCCAACAAGGACATGCTGAGTGAAGTCTACTCTTAGAACATTTCAGTGTTACTTTCTGATACATCTCAAGCATTAAGATCTTTTGCAAATAAAGTTACTTGTTAAATATTTCACTCCACAGGTGCATCATGTCTGGAAGATTTCGATTCAGGCAGAAAGAGGAAAATAGCACACCCTATATCATGAAAGAAAAAAAAAAAAAACAAGTAAGAACTTATAACGTAATTTAAAAGGAAAAAAAATACACTTTAGAATCAAACCTTTGAGGACAGCTATGATCCCGAAGTGGAATGCTACCTGCTCGTATGTGTCCGGGTTAGACTCGTCAGGGAGCACGTGGGGAGACACAGTCATGTCTCCCGTCTTCAGCTCCAATTGCTGAGCCAGTTCTCTGTAGTTGAGAGTGCCACAGCCCAACCTGTCATGGCAAAGCAGTATTTCCTCCATTACCAAGGCAACTGCACTGCACCACTTTTAAAATTGTGCATCTTGAATTACAAGTTTCTTGTACTAACTCACAACATGGCTTTCCAAACCTTTTATTATATGTCCGAGGTTATAGAGCCCAAATGCACTGTGGCATTAGCACTCTCTAGACTGCTCATGTGCCTTCTCTCTAGAGTGGAAACCAGTTCCTCTTATTCAGGTTTCCAGGATCCAGGCCGCTAGACACTCTGGCAGCCAGTGGCTACCACTGAAGATAAAAGTCTGAATTGCATGTGCTCTTCCAGGCCTAAGCTTGGAAATAGTTGATGAGTACTCTCTATTTGCTTCTAAAACATTCTGAAACATTTCATTTGTTCAAATATAGGTGGTCTTGAGGGGAGATATCCCCAAAATAAGCCTTTTTACTTTTAAAGAAAAACAGTATTACTCTTTGCATTGATGCTTCTAAAAGAATCATTCTCACCAATGCTCCTAAGGCAAGAAATAATCTGAGCCAAGAGGACAACTCTGAGGTATTATTTTAAAATGTTACAAGACAAGCAGTGGGAGCTCTTAGGAAGGCAGACACTTTCAAAAGGTGGAGGCCCTTTTTCACCTGACGCACAGTCAGGGTGTAGTGCCCACAGCCACACAGTGTTCCGTACATGCAAGCATTTGTACCTCCACAAAGTACAGTCCGCTTCAATGATTAGGTTCTTTCTGTCTTCCTGGAATAGCAAAGGAAGGCTACAGCTCTGTCTACTGCATATCCTGCCACCCTCAACCTCTGACATGCACAGAGAAAACGAGCAAGCAGTGCATGTGTGCTCCTGAGTGTTTCTCAGTCTATTCAGACACCTGCTTACAAAGGACAATGAAGTGACCTGCAAAGTTAGCTCAGCAGAGAAGCAACCACAGGAGCAGGAGGCACACCATGCTCTTGCAAGTCAAACCTAGGCTTAGGTCCTGCACTGTACTGCTTATATTTCCTGACTAAACACAACTGTTCCTTTTTAAACTCTTAATAGATAAATAGCATTGATATGATCCATTTGCAAGTATTACCTAATTCTCCTAGATTCATAAACTTTTAATGCTATATATTATACTAAGAAAATGTAATTTCCACAAGAAAACAAATTCGAAAGTATGCCATAACATTGTAAGCTTTGAAAAATGAGTCACTGAAAGGTAGTTACTATTAAGACAATATAAACACACAGAACATACACATTTATAAAACACACAAAGATGTGTGAGTTACATAAATGTGTGCCTGTTGCAAGTCTGAGACTCACTTGGTAAGGACGCTGCAAAAGAGGGGCACATAAGGCCTCAGCTCCTCGGGAAGTGTGTTCAAACTAGAGAAGGCTCTGAAGTACACCAGGCCATTGGTGGGCTGCGCACAGTACTGCACGGGGATCTCTCCAGCTAGAAAAACAAAGTGAGTAATCGTTTTTAACCATTAAAATTTTAATCATATTTAATATTTGAGAAATAATGCTATGCTTTTCAAGAATGGAGGTCTAAAACTTAATAACAAAAAAAAAATACTATTCACTCATTCCAGTTTATATGAAGTTCCCTTTTGTACTTGCATTATGATAAAAAACAAAAACAAAAACAAAACAGAAAAGATCTTTTGATACTAAAGCAGACACTAATTTTTGAAGAATCAGAATGGAAGAACAGCTGTGCTCATCTGATTATGTAACTATGCTAGCATTCCAGCGCCCATTACTCACCTTTACTAAAACCCACCCTTCATTCATAGTGACTTGACTAAGTCATTCCAGCAACATCTGACCTGACTGTTTCACCGACTTTAGATGCTGCTCATCTTCCCACAAAGGTTGTACTGGCTCTTTAGCTGTGACTCTTTCTGCGTACCCCCATGTATCCCCCAGTACATTCTGGGAGCACCTCCAAGTCTGGTGGTTAGGTGCTGTGGATTCCATTTTGTGTATTCCTACCTAGCACAACTCCTGAAACCAGAAGAGGGACTAAAGCCTTCACTATGACTGACTGGTCTTTGCTAGTTCTTTTAATGAATACCTAATGAGGTTCACTGGTAAATAAAGACCATGGGAATTAAAGCATCAGTAGGACAAGAGCCCCACTCCCCAGAATAAAGGAACTTATGCCAACATGCACATGCATAAGCACACGTACAAATAAATCAGACATGGTAAACACGACAAATACTGTTAAAAAATTAAGAGGCAAGTTTGAGTTGTTTCAAGAAAACATGTGCAGGTAGTCTAAACTCTTAACCCCAGAGGTACAAGTTAATGCATAATACTGACATCCGATCAGTAAGCTCCAACCATGCCCACTGCTAAGTTCGACGTCCACACCTTCCAGGGTAATGTTATTCCAGAGACACGTGTCTCATAAACTACCAACCAGAAGCCAAAGTAAGATTCAATAACTCTGAGAACTCAAAAGCAGTGACAGACCACAGAGCAAAACACTTGGATGAGACATGAGGCTACCAGCAGCCTTCAACTCTCCTTCTAGTCGATCCTACACTTCCTGCGGCATTTCTTTATCCCTCTCCTACACTGACAGTTCAGCTGAAGAGAGCTTGGCCAAGGACTCAAAAGGGTGCCTACATCCTTTAAAAACCACTTAATACCCACAGCATAACCCAAAGCCTTATCTGTTTCCAGAAGCAGCAAATTACAGAACCACTTCTAACCTACTCATAGGAAAAAAAAAAAAAAAAAAGAAACACAGATTCCTACTGAGTAAACAAATCCACTGCCACTGAAGATAAAGAACAATTTACAAGACTTTTGAAGAGCAAGACAGTCACATGTTTTCTGGAAAACATCTAAAATGTGACCCTGCTTCTCTTATGGAAACTGATGTTTAATTTAATCAAGAAACTCATACACCCCGAACATGAGTGACATGAGTGTTGAGCGAGACCTGTCAAGGCCACGTCCAGGCTGGTGAAAGGCATGGAGGGCTCAATGTCTGAGACTTTCAGTGCTGGGAGACAGGAGGCATCTTGAGGTTTACTTTGTTGACTCCGTAATTCTAAACCTAAAAAGAAAAAGAAAAGGGAAAATGAAACCCTCAGGACTATAATTAACAGATTTTACCCAACTGATCTCCTCTCTACTTTTCATTATCTGACATTCAAAATTAGCAACCCCAGGCCAAGTGCTGAGTATGTGAACAACTATGGTGTGGAAGGTATCTGCCATTTCCAAGCGAACATTTCACAGGCATTATATCTGTTTTGTAAGTGGTGTTTGTTCTAAATCTCATTCCTCAACTATTTTGAAAACAAAATTTAATTGGGAAGTGTGTTTTTTTTTTTTGCTCAATAAGTTTAGTTTCCTCTCTGAAACTAAAAATTTTATACTGGATAGAATGAACTTATTTTATAACCACTTTTTGCTGAACTGAAAGTAGTAACTTTAATACTTGTGTTCTCTTTTTAAATTTTCACTTCTATTAGTAAAACGTTTATATAATCACATAAATTTCACAAATGACAGCAGTATTTAAAAATACGCTCCCTAAGCCTGATGATCCATGCATCTAATCAGAGGGAATTCTCTCCCTGAGGAATTACTCCACAGAACCACAGCATCCAAGAGAAGAAAAAATCTACAAAATCCAGAATTTTTTTCTGTCATACACGTACACAAATGAATTTGTTCACAAACACGGTTTGTAGGGGATAGCTGTGCTGAGCTAGTAGTTTAACTCGACATCACAATATAGAACACTCCTGCTGACTGCTGAGCTGACCTTAAAAGGAACAACCCAGCTGCCCTTGTCCTCTGTGAGAGCATGGGATTACCTGACAGGCCATTCAGGCATGGCACTTGGGAGCAGGTGAGCCGTCTCATGCACTAATTACTCTACAGGCTTCGCTGAGCCCAAAATAAAGTAAAAGTTGAATGTACACTCCACTCCCCGTTCCTCAGGCCTGTGGCCTGGAACAGACAATCTCTGCTCCTTGAGGTATCAGGAGCCCAGGTTCCCTGTGAGTTCAGTCCTTAAGACCTTCCCTTGCCTGACCAAGTTGAGTTTCCCCAATCTTATGCTACTCCATTTTTAACTCTGTGTTTATGATATGAAAAAGCCTTCTGTTACCTCTTTCCTTACCAAGTCTCACTAATAGTCTAAGACCCACCTCCTCTAGAACATTCTGCAACTACTCTGACAACCCAATTGCTCCTTCTTTGAGTGTACTCAGTGTCAAAAACATTCAGTATTTTCTTTTTTCCCAGCCAATCAAAGCTCTGTGGCATAGTACTTAATACATTACACAGAGACACTAAAATTTTTCAAGATTAAAGTTTTTAATAAACTTATTTCTCATTCACCTTTTTTCTATTAATGTTAATTTATGGATTAATCTTTAATTCACAGAACTGAAGTCCATACTTTATGACTTACTGACCTGAAATAACGATTAAATGCACTACTAGCAGCACTATGTCCTATTAAAAGGAACTTGGCAGTGAATTGGTAAGGTAAAAACATACTTTAGTAATATTAGCATAATTTACAATGTACTAGATAGACTGTAGTATACTAAACTTTCTTCAAACAAAGCAGACTTTAAAGGCTAGTCCATAAATATGTTAGCAATTTAGGAAACATATATTCTGTTGCTTAAGCATGGACTTACCTTATGGACTTACTATGGCTTTAATTAAAAGTGAAAGCTCAGAACCTGTCAATCAGCATCATCAAACTGCTTAAAATAGATGTGTCTTAACAAGAACTCAAGTGTCAAGAAGAAAGGTTACGAGTTGCCATTAAGTTTTCCTTAATAGATTATATAAATGCAATCTTACCATAATCAAAATGGGATTATTTTCCAGAGACACTTATACCTCCTAATGAGCCAAATAATTGCTCCCATAATCCCAGCCAAAGCTGCTTTCTTTAATGTGTGTGGGGGAATGTGTGTGTATGTTGTAAAAATTTTAATAGGCTTTACTAAACAATTATTAATCTGCCCCATCTCTATAGCTTTGCCTTTCTAAGGGCATCATACAAATGGACTCTGAAACGTGTATTCTTTTTTTTTTTTTTTTGCATGTACGGGGGTGGGGTTGTACAAGAATCGAACTCAGGGGCATCTGACCACTAAGCCACATCCCCAGCCCTATTTTGTATTTTATTTAGAGACAGGGTCTCACTGAGTTGCTTAGCACCTTGCTTTTGCTGAGGCTGGCTTTGAACTCACAATCCTCCTGCCTCAGCCTCCCGAGCTGCTAGGATTACAGGTACATGCTACCACGCCCAGCTTGCAATATATATTCTCTTGTGCCTGATTTACTTCATTCACTTAGTGTAATGCTTATGAGATTCATCCATGTTGAGTTAGCCATAAAAAAGAACAAAATTATGAGTGAGTCATATTTTTTTAATATGAACATATATGTTGATGGAAATTTGTGATGTTTCAAGTTTTGAAATGTCTTCAGCCCTTTGTAGTTAATTCCTAGCACTAAGACTGCTGAACTTCAGCACTGTAAAGCACTGTAAAAAATTATAAAACTGTTTTCTTAAATGGCTGTACCATTTTGCTTTGCCAACAGAAATGTGCAAGAGTTTCACTTATTTCACATGCTGATTACACTTGATAATTGCAGCATTCAAAATTTTTACCTACTGTACCAGGTGTATAATGACAGAATTTGGGGATTGTAATTTGAATTTTCCTAATAAGCAAGCAGGTAGGGTGGAGGAGAGTGTTGAGCATACAGAGAGGAAGGGGAGGCCATTGGAAACCAAATGGAGGAGGGCCTTGAATAGAAGCTGATGAATGTCCTTGTGTGTCTTTATTAAATCAAAAGAATTAGAAAGCCAGTGAAAAGTACAGCCTCTTCTGTGTCTTGACCAAGTCTAACCTACACACACCCTCATGGTGCCACATGGCTAGCACAGTCCTCTGTGCCCACACAGCGACCTGCCTCTCTGAACACATTACAGCTTATACCATCTATATTGTTCATTTGGCAATTAATTAAATAATGTGACAATAAGAAAAAATTTGTTGACATTTTACAGATTCTGGTAAACAGAAAGTACTTATAAAATCTGTAAAATAAATAAATTTCATAAAGCTACTTTCAATTATTCCTGCTTTTCCTGGTGAATCACATGAGTTTTCATGTAGGGTTGAATCTCAAAGTTGAGCCCAGTTCATCAGTAGGAATTCTGTAGGTGCCCAGTGATTATTTGTTGGTTGAAATAATACTTGCCATCTAGCTAATAAACAGTTCACTAGATCTGCATGAAGGAAAGGGAATTACCAAGCAACAAAATATCTGACCTTTTTCATAGATCTGTTGTTTGTCTTCCGGGGACAGAGAATCGACTTTTTGCTTCAGTTTTTCTGTTTCTATTTGTGTTTGTTTCTCATAATACTTGTCATCTGGCTTCATTGATAAAGTCAGTTTATGCTGATTATTCTGCAACAACCACAATAGCAAAAAAGTTAAAATGGAACTTTGTTAAAGCCTGACCTACTAAACCATGTCCTTGGTTCTGCAATTCACCCATTTTTTAAAACAATGATAATAAAATTTAACTCAAGTGTTGCTTTATAAATCAAAGTATGAACAATAAAATATTCCTTTACAAATAAAATTCTTAAAACCAGACCTGTCAAGTAGTAATTATATAATAACATAAGCTGTTACTCTTTATAATTATTATTATAGTCATTTTGTCTTATCCACAACTGTAAAAATATTCAACATTTCCTTTACATTTTGGTTGTAAAAAGAAACTGTTTGGGGCTGGGGATATAGTTCAATTGGTAGAGTGCTTGCCTGGCATGCACAAGGCTCTGGGTTCAATCTTGAGCACCATAAAAAAAAAAAAAAAATTGTTTGCACTCTTTAGTATTATAAATCTTGGATGTCAGTTTAAATTTAAAAAATAATAGAATTCTAACAATTTCTGTTTAATATTGATTATCCTATTAACTTCTGAAAGGCTAGAACAAGTTTTGATTCAATACTTTGCAAATTATTAGGACATTAGATATTAATCTAATATAAAAAATGTTGGGTAACTGAGTTTCTCCAATTATTTTAATAATCTAAAAAATAAGTACAAAATGTTCATTTGTAATACTATTAAGAAAAGTAAGAGAATTAGAGTATAATGAAAACCTATAACAAAGAGAAATTGCAGGTCAAATTATCAAATCATGTTCTATGTCTGAAACAATGGCACATATTAAAAGTTACCCTCCAAAACAGGCAACAGTCTGACCCACCAGTCATATCTTTTAAAAAGTTTAATGAGTACGTAGAACAAGTAATAAAGCTAAGTATAAATGCCTAGAAATCCAGAAATGTAAGCAAACATCAAAAGAACTCAGTCATAAAAATAGAGTATTCAGTGTACTCAACTGTTCTTATAGTTTGTTTTACTCTTCCATTAACAAAACAGGAAAATGTACACATTTTGTTAATACATACATATATAAAAATGGACACAGATATTAGTAGGAAAAAGATCAACTTGCATTAAAACCTGGAAAACAATGTTAGTGTAAGCATTTACATTTTTAACGAGAAATTAAGACATTACGACACCTACTCATTATTAGAAATTGACTTACATAAATATATACATTATGTTCCTAATGTTCCTTCTAATACTTTGAAATCCAACTTAAAAGTTAAATAAATTCTCCAATTTTCTTACCATAAAATATTGTTTCACTTTTTCTTGCAAAAATTTAGGATTTTCCTTAAGGCACTGCCTAAATTTAGTCAACTGATTTCCCAACTGCAAGAGTTCCACAGGGTCCCCGTCATGATTCCAGCAGGAAGCTACATACTAGAATGAAGAACTTTAAATTATACATAGCATACCACAAACATTGTACTGCCCTATAAACATGGTACTACTGGGTAAATGTGAAAGGCATGACATTTTATTAAAATCCTAGTTTCTATATTTAAAAATAATATGGATGATTGTTTATAACAAAAAAATTAAGTCTTTAGTTCATCGAAAAGGAAAAAAACTCATTTTAAACTTGTTTTGTTCTAATAAAATTAAAAGCACAGGTTTAAATTACTTTTAAAAAATATAATTGTTACCAAGAGTTTGCTAGATACAATACACATTTAAAGTTATATGTAAATTTATTCCACATTAAAACATACAATATCAAGAAGCCAATTAAGTAAGTTAGTAAAAAGATAAAAATGTACTATAAAACTAAATTAAATTTATATCTGATTGCAAAATAGCTAACTTTCAAGGTTCAAATGAAAAGCATTATCAGTATGAATCTGTTTTCAGGGCCATCAAGAACCACTAATCATATAAATAAAAAAGCAAAACCAAACCAAACCAAAGCCAAAACCCAGATGGTTGAGAAATCATACCGATATCAGGGCACGTCCAAAACTGGTTGACTGATGCTTCATTTGAATTTCAATTTTATGAAGTAAAGCTTCAATTTGATCATCTTCAAATCCTTTCCTAAAGAAAAGAGATGGTGAACAGAAATAAAAAGTTCAAGCATTACAGGGTAGCATCAACTACTAATACATGTTTTGTTCCATATAGAGAAGGCTAAAATATGGAGAAGCCACAGTCCTTACAGTAAGGAAGAGAACTCTTCTTGAATGAAAGATGAAAGCAAATCATTACGAAAGACCACACACTTACTCAACTACTTCGTCAAACGTGCTATCCACAAGGTCTCTGACCTTCTGAATATCTTTCTCTGCAATCCCTTGGAGGCCTACGCTGAAATACGCCTCCCTTGTGTTTCCGTTATATCTAGAAAACAGAAACAGGAAGTGTGTTAGAACCCACTTGCTCTCATCATTACCTCGCAACACGCTTTAAAAATGAGACACGCTTTAAAAATGACAACTAACAACTTTCAACTCAGGTTCTATTAAAGAAAGCTCATGAAAGCCAAGGTCTCAGATATTCACTTCTCAGATGACAATTGGCCAAAAGTACATTTAGGTCTTTTCAAATATTTATAAAAATCAGGATAGAATTTCTGGCAAAATCCAGAAATGGAGAACTGCTGAGTTTTAGAAAAACTTTTTAAGATTTCCAAGACTTCTTCATGATATGACTTTTAAAACAGGCATCAATATGATATTCTGAGAATTTGAAAATGCTATTTTTTTCCACTTTGGCCAAAGGTCTCTGGATCCATAACCTAATCCAGAGGTCCCTATTAGGAAGGGAGGATGTCCTGAGCATGGCGGGACCCCGAGTAGCTCCTTGGCCTCTACCCACTAAACACAAACAGCATTTCCTCCTGTTACAACAACCAAAAATGTCCCTGACAGTGTTAAGTGTTTCAGGGTGGGGCAGTGCAAAATTGCCAATAATAAAACTTACCCAACATCAGGAGAAAAGTCTGTGCCAAGTCCAGATTCAATTAAAGCTTTGTAAAAGGGGGAATTGGGCCCAGCAACCAAGAGTGAAGACAGAAGACTTAATGTGAAGGCTTCAAATGTGTCAGTAATACTTTGTGGGAAAAAAAGGATGGGGGTAGGCAAAAGGGAAAATCTTTAGCAATTATGAACGTTTCTTAAGTCATTTAAAAACACTACTAAAATAACACTTTTATGTCCAAACAAACTGAAGTTATTCTAGAAATTCTTGTGTTTCACATTTTTTAATCATTATATGAACAAAAGGGAAAAAATTTTTAATATATCAGGCTGCTTTTTTTTTTAACTCCAAACCCCATACTCTAAATATGTATTGAATGCTCATCACATGACAGTTTGCCAAGTACTTTCATATACATTATTTCAATTTCAGGTACAACATCACAGCAACACAATAAATGACTGATGAGAAGGCACAAAGAGTCCCCACTGTGCAGCTGCTATACTACTTGGAGGGACAGGTGAGACTGAGCCGGTGTCCTCCCTGTCCTCAATACTCGAGGCACCAGTTCTCGCCTGGTCTCCAGTCTTTAGAATTACAAGGTTTTGTATGTGGTATATTTTTCCATGGCAAGTTATCATAGTATTCTCACAATCAAAGGGACCTTTGACCATACAAATATAAACAATTGTTAGAAATTCTAAGGCAGTTTTTCCTCTGGAGGATTAGAGCTTTAAAATAGAAGGAAGTACATCACTTTTCTGCTGGACAGCTAACAAAACGGTTTTCCCATGAAATTAAACCACATAACCACTTTCAATGTTATTAAAAATGTTCTTGACATTTTGTTCTCATTCTTAAAACCTGCTTGACTCTTGAATCCCAGCTTGATTTATAATTGATTTTCAAATTCTCCTCCTAATGTTCTCAGCTAGGTATTTTCCTATTTTCAGCTAGTAAAATCTTTAGCAATCTATACTTACTCTGGCAAGAGGAAGCTAACGCTGACCATTGTTTGTTTAGAGGTGTTTGCAGCAAGCGAATGTGGGCCACATGTTATCTGGAATTCCCTCTGCAAAATGATGTGATGTATTGGGTTAGTGGGAAGAGAATCTGAATGGGGGTAACTTAAACAGATTTTGTGTGGATATATAAAATGCTCTAAGGTAAGCTTTTCACTAGTTTCTTTCTAAACAAATAACAATTTCCTAGTCTTAAAAAGCTCTTATGCATATTGTAATGACTACTGCATTTTAGAATATAACTATTAGTACATAGTTCATCCTCATTTCAATGTAAAAAATTAATAGGTAAGATAAAACAGTAACAAAAACTGCATGGGGCACTTACTGGCTTATCCCAGTGCTTCTGAGCTGGAACTGCAGTATTTGGTTCAATTTTCTGAAATTTACTCAGTGCTTCTTCATGAATTTGTCTCAGATGCTGTTCTAATTGAAAATTACCATAAGTGAAGAACCTAAAATTTTGAGGGAATATGTTGGTCTGTTTTAGTTTAAATGATTAGAAATCAACAATGATGTACAGAATAGAAGACATGGAGACAAATCACATAAATACAGTTATCTCATACTAGACAAAGGCGCCAAAAACATACATTGGCAAAAAAAATGGCCTCTTCAATAAATGGTGCTGGGAAAACTGGAAATCTATATGTAGCAAAAATGAAATTAAACCTCTATCTTACCATGCACAAAACTCAAGAGTGGACCAAGGTCCTAGGAATTAGAACACAGACCCTGCACCTATTAGAAGAAAAAGTAGGTCCAAATCTTCATCATGTTGGAATAGGTCCTGACTTCCTTAACACACTCCTAAAGTATAAGAAATAATATCAAGAATCAACAAATGGGATGAATTCAAACTAAAAAGCTTCTTCTCAGCAAAGAAAATAATCAATAATGTGAAGAGAGAGCCCAAAGAGTGGGAGAACATCTTTACTACATGCACATCAGACAGATGCACATCCCAGATATATAAAGAACTCAAAAAACTTAACACCCAAAAAATAAAAAATGGGCTAAGGAATTGAACAGACAGTTCTCAGAAGAAGATATATTATCAATCACCAAATATATGAAAAAATGTTCAACTTCTCTAGTAATTAGAGAAATGCAAATCAACACTACTCTTAAGATTTCATCTCATTTCAGTTAGAATGGCAATTATCAAGAATACAAGCAATAATAAGTATTGGTGAGGATGTGGGGAAAAAGATACACTCATACATTGCTGGTGGCACTGCAAATTAGTGCAACCACTCTGGAAAGCAGTATGGAGATTCCTTAGGAAACTTGGAATAAAACCATAATTTGACCCAGCTATCCCACTCTTTGGTCTACACCCAAAGGACTTAAAATCAGCATACTATAGTGAAACAGCCACATCAATGTTCACAGCATCTCAATTCACAATAGCTAAACTGTGGAACCAACCTGCCCTTCAATAGATGAATGGATAATGAAAACTGTGGTATATATACACAATGGAATATTATTCAGCAATAAAAGAGAATAAAATTATGGCATTTGCAGATAAATGGAGCTAGAGAATATCATGCTAAGTGAAGTAAGCCAATCCCCAAAAACCCAAGATTGAATGTTCTCTCTGATAAGTGGATGCTGATCCATGGTGGGTAGGGGGAGTATGGAGGAACTTTGGGTGAAGGGAAGGGTAGGGAAAGAAGGGGCATGGGGGCAGGAAAGATGGTGGCAATGAGATGAACATCATTACCCCACATAAATGTATGACTGCACATATGGTGTGACTCATTGTGTATGACCAGAGAAATGAAAATTTGTGCTCCATTTGTGTACAATGAATCGAAATACATTCTGCTATCATGTATAACTAATTAGAATTTAAAAAATCAGCAGTGATTTTTTTTTGCATGAAACAGAGAATACACAGTATTACAGCAGCTAACAACCCTCTCCATGTTTAAGTAAACTTTGCAAACCAACGTATATTGTTTTGCTTAGTTTAAATGCAAACACTGATAGACTCTTTTGCCTTTTTGATAGGTGGCTCAAACAAAATAAAAACCATAAAAAAGGGCTTAATTAAATGCAAATGCAGCAAAGAAGTTACAAAAACCAAATGAGTTATTTGTTAAATATTTTACCACCCTAGCTACAGTACTACAATAATTGATTTAATATTGATAAACAACAAATAATTTCATAAAATTCAATTTTAGGCTGCAAATTTCAGATTATAGATATAAACCAGAGAAGGCTAATAATGCCAGAGTTGATCGAAAAGCTGTCTGAGCTACGGTTAAGATTTGGGGATTAGCCTAAAGATTCCTTAAAAACTTTTATGCTCAAGGGTTTAGAAATAAATTGTACAGACAAGGACTTAGATAATCCACTAGCAATCGACATCCCTAGAGACACTGATCTCTCAACACCTTTTGCCATTCAGTCATAGAATCCAGTGGACAAAGGACGATCGGAAGATTCAGAGCACAAGCACCTGGATGTGCATGGTGATGCTCAATGAAAGCTAAGAAAGTGTCAGAAAGAAACTACCAAGGCTCACAGCTGGGACATTCTGAACATGAAAATATATAGGTTTCATCTGATGACACAATCTCAAAAAAAAAAAAAACATATATATACTTAAATACTTTCATAAGATCATAGTGTTATTTAAAAAACAGAGCAAAACAAAGATGGCTGAAGGGCAGGAAAGAGAGGAAATAAGCTTCTTTCAATATAATTAGAGATAGCTTCTGCAACCATCTGTCCCACTAAAGTTGGAAAAAAAAGCAGTTCTCTCAACCCAGCAGACCATATTTCGGGGTAATGCAAGAGTCCCAACTGATAAGGAAGAGCTCTTCTTTGTGTAAGTTCAGACGTAGAAGTAATTACAAAATGGAAAGACTCAGCAAACTCTATTAAATAAAGTAGTTGATTCATGCAATAGTTATCAAGGTGAAAAGGAACTGCGGCAATTTTCTGGAGTATCAGAACCTCCACCTGCCAGATGGCCTGTGATTGTGTGGAGAGAAACAAACTCTCACTGCATACAGGCTGGTTATCACCCTTCTACAGGCTGATTTCAGCAGGCCTGTGGAGCATCAACAGGCATCAGAGTGTCTGACAGGAATGCAGCAGGCGACATGAGCATCAGCCTGAAAAACTCCCTGTAAAAAGGTTTCACCTGCCTCTAACCAAGTCCTGAAATCCAAGTTTCAGTTCTTAAAAAATCAACAAACACCACGAAGAAGCAGTGGAACAACTCAGAAAGTAGAAAAAGTCTAGAGGAAGCCAGGCCTGATCTCCCATTGTCCTCCTTGAGAAGGTACCCAGGACATGCTGAATAACAAAATGCCACGTGTGGGCCTCATTTGGACTGAAAACACATTTTGGGGGATATGGAGAGTTTGAATATGGAATAAGAAATACATGGCTTAAAGAAACGATGCTTTGTTTTGTTAAGTATAAAAACGTTATGCAAGAAAACATTCTTGTGTTTTTGGGTCACAAACTATTTAGAGGTGGACAATTGTGATGTCTATAATTTAATTTAAAAAACTTAAAAATTATCTGTATAATAAGTGTATGGGGATTCTACTTTTATATATGCTTAAAACTTTTCATAACTAAAATTTTATTTTATTTTTTTACAGAACCTTGTAAGTATGATTTTACGCTAATATTTATTTGTAAATAGAATTGTTAATGATACATTAAACCAGCAACAATTACTACATCTGCCCCTTTAATGTGCTAAGGGAAAGCTTCAGCTTTTGAGGTACTGTGAAAATTAGCCTTACAAAGTGGATGCCATCACAAGCATTCCCATTTTACAAGTATTGAAGCTGTTACAGAGGCAAAGGAGGCGCACTGAAACTCTCCATCAAGGTGACTTCATAGGCTGCTTGGAATAACCATGTTGTGCCAAGCAAGGACCATTATCACCACAGATGTTCAGAATGAACATCAAAATAAGTTAGGCAGGAAACTTAAACAAATCACCTTCCCAAGCCTTACCCAGTTCTTAAGCGAACATTTCTTTGCTAAATGTGAGGGAAGCCATGTCATTTAGTGGAAGACAAACAAATCAATTCTTAATTTACCATTAATCCTTTAAAACACCATGTTAAAGAGTGCTAAAAACAAGTTTGTGATTTGAAAATGATATTCAGATATAGCAAGGGCTTAAAAATAGTCATCTGCTTGAAACAGAGCCCTCCAAAATAAATAAAGAAATACGTTGAAATCATGAGGCTTCTGTTGGTTTAAAAAATAAATAAAATAAACAAAACTATGAAAAATGAATAAAAAATAAAACAAAATATTACCTGGCATTACTTGGGTGGTAGTGAGTAGCATGAAACTGTTTAAGCTGTTCCCACGTGAGTTCTGGGATGCACAGTGGATCACCTCCGGAGATGACTGAGTAAGTGTGGTCAGGAAGAATTTTGTTCTGAAGGTGCTGGGAGAATATCCTCTCATTATCTGTCTTGAAATTAAAAAAAAATAATAATTCATATGCAAAATACAGTCATGTACTGCATAACCACATTTCTGTTAATGATGAATCACAAGTGCAATGGTGTCCCATAATATTTCAATATGGCCTAGATGAGTAGTATGCTGTGCCACCTGGGTTTGTGGGCACATACTCCGACATTCACAAAACAACAAAATCACTTACTAATACTTTTTTCAGCACTAAGTGATATATGACTATAAAACACACTATTATGTTACAATGCAGCAAATTAATCATACTCTGGACCATATCCCTATATTACATGGCAAATAAA